GGTCAGATGGAAGCATACAGCAGGGATCTGCCTGGACTGGGGTCAGGAAGGCTTCCCAATGGACTGGTGTTCTTGGGATTCAATTATCTGGGTCAGGCTGCTTAAGGAGTGATCTTTTGTTATCTCAACAACCCATGGGAAAAAGTTGGCAAACTGTTCTTCTAATGAAGTACAGAAGTATCAAGAACTGGGCACAGAAACTCACCTTTTAGTGACAGATTTAAAAAACATTCAACTGTGGAAAAGACAATAGGGCACTTTGTACATTAATACATTTTTTTTTTTTTGTCTTTTTGTCTTTTTTTCGTGACCGGCAACGGATCGCAACCCTCAGTGTCGCGCCCGTACCGGACTGGGACCAGCAATGGGATCGCAACCCTCGGCGTTGCCCCCGCTCCTCGCTCAGCCAGTGAGCGGCCGGTCTGTATGTGGGATCCGAACCCTCGGCGGGAGCGCCGCCACGCTTCCCAAGCGGCGCACTGTAGCAGTGCGCCACTGGGCCGGCCCCACATTAATACATTTTTCTAAAGTACTTCTAAAGTGAGGCATGGGAATATATTAGGGCTCCTCCCTCTCCCCTTTAAGGAATTCATGGGAAAGCTTTAAGGATGAAATCTGAGGTAGATGATGATGAAAAAAATGGTCAGGCAAAAGTAGGAAACAAGATACCACAGAAAGTTGTGATATGGAAGGTTTATATCTGAAGGATAAGTCCAATAATTAATTTTAGTAAAAACTAATAAGGATGAGGACAAGAAACAATCATTACAGCCTCAGAGAAGTGAGATAAAAACAATACTCTAGGGCTGGCCGGTTGCTCAGTTGGTTAGAGCACAGCCTTATAACACCAAGGTCACGGGCTGGGATCCCCCTACTGGCCAGCTGTCAAAAAAACAAAAAATGTAATACTCTAACAAGGAGAAGAAAATGCAACTTGGGCTGGTCCAATGGTAGTGGGTTATAAGAACTTATTAACATTAGCTGGTTAGAGTGTGGTGCTGGTAACACCGAGGTTTGGGGTTTGATCCCTGTACCAGCATGCAAGAACCACCCCCACACACACACACATTAGTGTCACTAACATTGGTATACAACCTCCCACTGCTAAATGTGACTGGCTTTAAAAGAAAAAAAAATGCAATTTGCCTACAGCACTAAGACTTAGGGAGATGTAACAAAGCTATCATTGTTTAATGTTCCTAGGCCATAGTTTCTTTAATTGAAAATGAAGACTTTGGATTAGATATGCAGCTCTCAATATGTGTGCATCAGAATAACCTGCAAGGCGTATTCAAACACAGATTGCTGGGCCTCACCCCCAGAGATTCAGTAGGTCTGGACTGGGGCCTGAGAATTTAGATTTCTAGCAAGTTCCCAAGCTGCTGGTGCTGGGACCACACTGAGAACTACTAGACTAGATGCTTTCTTCATGGCCCCCACAGGACTGATGTTTTTATGATTTTATGCCTGTGAAAGCCACAAGAAAATACAGTACTACTGACTAATATAAAGTTTTATGAGAACAACAGTCTGTGTCTATATGTCCTTTTATCTTTATTTATTTTTTGGCAGCTGGCCAGTATGGGGATCCGAACCCTTGACCTTGGTGTTACCAGTATCACACTCTAAGTGAGTTAACTGGCCAACCCATGGCCTTATATCTTCAAGCCTGTATTAGGGCTGTATGCCTCACATTATTGCTTTTCAGTCTTCATGACCTACCTTTTATAATTCTTAAGCATAGCACAATGCAAGAAGGATGTTTAATTAAATAGAGGCTTTAGGTAATTGTGATAAACTTCTCACAGGTTCAAGGTTTGAAAGAACTGACTTAAGATTAGAATACTTCAATAGCTAGAGAGCTAAGTGATTATGTCTTTTTTTTTCCAGTTCTAAAAAGACTGCACATCTAATGTTTATATCCTTAATTGAAAAAAAAGTAACACAAAGAAAGATAAAGACAACAAAAGATACAGCCCCAATAAAAGGAAGGAAAAAAGAAAAAAAGACCTTTATGACTATTCTCATGCAATGTATAAAGAAATTAATACATTGTTCACACACAGTGTAGAGTAGCATTGAGGGTCTTTTGGGATATTGACTCTGAGGACTTTTAAAATACAACTGTCAATACATGTGCCTGTCCTGTTCTCCATCTGAACAGTGTATAAGAACCAGACACTTCCAGAGCTTTACAGATGGAAAGAATGGGTCTGCTTTCAAGGCATTAATTTGAACACGGTCCACCAACCTGCAGAAAAGTGTTTCAAGTCGGAGATGACTTAGAATCCTTAGTTTCATTCTAAGCAATGAATGTGAACATTTACCTAAAGAATATCCAGAGAAGAATCCTATTTTTTGCTTTTTTTTTTTTTTTTTTGGCAGCTGGCCAGTACAGGACTAGAACCCTGTACCTTGGTGTTATCAGCACCATGCTCTAACCAACTGAGCTAACTGGCCAGCCCCTACTTTTTCTTTTTTTTTAGAAAATAAACTTGGATAAATATGCTCTTCTGCGGGCCGGCCCGGTGGCGCACTGGATAGTGCGCCGCTTGGGAAGCGCGGCGGCGCTCCCGTCCGAGGGTTCGGATCCCACATACAGACCGGCTCCCGCTCACTGGCTGAGCGAGGCGCGGGAGCAACACCGAGGCTTGCAATCCCGTTGCCGGTCCCTGGTCCGGTACGGGGGCAACACTGAGGGTTGCGATCCGTTGCCAGACATGGAAAAAAGACAAAAAAAAAAAAAAATATGCTCTTCTGCTTGGGAAAACAGGAGAGCTAGGTCCTCCCTTATAATGTAACCCTGGTGACTTTTTTGGTCAGCACTTGAAAAGCAGTCATAAGCGATCCTGGAAAGGCTGAGTGGGGCAGGAATTGATACCCCCATTTCACAAGGGCTTACAGGTGTGGAAATAGGACCATAAGTGCAGCCTGATGTTAAAGTTAGTCTGGTGCTCTGCCTACAGCAGTTCACATACTCACACTTAGGCCTTGGGAAACTGGAGTTCTCCTGGCCTCTTCCATAAGTGCTGAAGTCAAGTCAGAATTCTCACCAAAAAAATGAAAGCACATGGGAGTGAATTTCATGGTCACAATTAGTCCTAGTGACACCTCTGGAGCATGAGTGGGCAGGTCCAGCTGACATAAGCTCTCCTGGCCCTACCAACGTGGCCCTGGATCATATACCTGCAAGAACAGACCAAGGATCCTCATTCACACCCTTCTCCTCTTTGCAGTAGAGATGGGAATCTGAGAAGACTGACAGCCCTGCTCTACCAAGGGCTGGGACACAAAATCCCAGAAGTTCATGGTCATCCCTGCTCCTTCTTGTTTATATTACATGTTCAAAGTCCACCATTTTCCCATATCAGGAACCAGAAAACAGCAAGCTCGTTGCCAAAGAACCCTGGGGTTTTCTCTTTCCTCCTGCACAGCTTGGAAATGGTCTCCATGGGGACCTTAAAATTCAGGAAGAAGACTGAAAGCCTCCAGAGCTCTGCCTCTGGACATACCTTGCCTCATCGGCCTGCATTCATGCCACAAGGCATGGCAAGGAGTCAAGTGATCACAGTAGCCGGTTCCCCTTGAACCAACCCTCTGCTAAAGTGTTGGCTTAGGTGTACTTCTAAATTCAATCGGGGAGCCACCATCTGCCCTCCCAAGAATCTGGTGACCAATGAAGTTCCAATGTCACACATGCTCACACATCCTAGAGAAAGTTCTCTGGAAAAGACAAGCCATCTACAACTCTTGGTAAAAACTTACATGCTCCAAATTGACAACCAGACAGAATCAACTTCTTGCTCACCTCAATGAATATTTATCCCTCCCAACCCACTGGGCCAGAGGAGACAGACATCTCTTTATGATGTTCCTCCGAACAAGGGAGAGATACATAACAGAGTCTTGGGATCTATGCTATGATGGTGGCCAGGAAGAGGGGTCATCAGCCTCATGGTTTAGCAGTTCCTTGACTTAGTGATGTCTGACCACATCAGAGAGACACGTGGCACCTTACATAAGGTGTATTATTACCTTACATAAAATAATAACCCTATTGACTACTTATATGCTACTTGAATTGTTACTTAAGCCCTCTGTCATTTACCTTAATATGTGTTATTTCCAGTCTCCTCAATTGGACTGTGAAATCTGAAGGCAGGGAAGGCTCTAATCTAACACAGCTCTGAATGTCCAGAATGATATCATGACAGTGCCTGGAACAGGAGGCATTAAAAAAATAATAGCTAAATGAATGTTTACTGGTTTGTTTACCTATAAATTAGGTGCTGGTTTATATAAGATGAAGAGAAGAATTTGTCTACAGTTGACAGGAAAGAGAAGCCCAACAGGAACTGCAGGAGAACAGCTTAGCAGGTCAGGCCAAGCCAGGGGCAGGAGGTCAATGAGCCCACAGCTTCCCAAGGGAGAGAAGATGTGACCAGGCTGTCCTGTGGATCCTGTTGGGGAAACCCCGCACTGTCAAGAGAGCCTTCCTGCCCTCTGGCAATACAAGATTACAGTTTGGCAGGAAGGGTGTGCACACTATAGTCAAGGGCTGACAAAACATGCGAAACAGTACCCTTGCTACACAGCCTCCTTCCTGGGGTGCTGCCTACCGCAACGCGTCAATCACAACCAATTTTCCAGTACCCAGGTCTGTGAACTTTGACTTTAGAGACACAATTTCTACATTGCTAAAATGTAATTATCTCCAGTCCCTTGATGGGCCATCTCAAAGTATTTCCTTAATCTTTGCTCAGGGATTTACTAATGGTAGGTGGGGAAGCCTGTGTCTTTTTCCTCCCCCAGCTATAAGATACCCTCCCCCAATGTGCCCTCCCCCAGCACTGCTCCAGGAGTGAGTGATGTTCCAGAGTACTACTACCTAGAGATGCAAGCCCAGGAAGGAATACCCAGGCCCAGAGGAGAGCAGTGACCCTTGGAGAACTTGCCAGAGGAGACACAATGTACCCCTGCTATGGCCTAACTGTCCATACCTAGAGCCTTCACAGATATCTGCCGGGTGAGTGGAGGGGGGATGTTGATGCACACCAGGTCCACGTCTTGATGAAGCAAGACATCATCAGTCCGGCTGGTGTAGAAGGTGATGTTCATCTCCTCGGCAAGCTGCTTCGCCTCCTCCTCAGTCTTCCCCCACAGGGCCTCCACGGTGAACCCTTCTGCCCTCAGCAATGGGACCAGAACCCGGGCGGAGCTGCCAGTCCCAAACACACCCACTCCTGGAAGCATCTTCATCCCGGTCTCTCTTCACCAGCTCATCTTCTCACAAGAACCGCGAGCATGGACATGACCTTCTCACGGTCCTGGTCACACATGGCTCCTAGAACAGCAAACATGACACTGGTCATTAGTGGAGGGCACCTTCAGGTGCTGAGGCTACTTTCTTGGCTTATTTGGAAGCAACAATTTCTCTCCCGGAAAAGCACAAATGAAATATTGCTTTAAAATGAAAAGCTGTAGAATCTTCTTCCACGGAGACTGAAGGATACCAGCAATATCCATCTACTGGAACCCAGGGAAGGAGGAAAAATGAAAAATGGGTAGAAGGGGGTTCAAATCCCAATTCTGCTACTTAATTTTCTGTGTAACCCTGGCTAAACCTTTTAACCTTCCGGGCCTTATGTATAAAATAAAGAGGGTGATGTATCTTTAAAGTTCCTTCTTGTTGTAAAAGTTCATGATTTTATGATATCATATGACAAAGAAAAAGAAGACTGGGAAACAAAAAACCAGTACAAGAGGAAAGAGAAAGAACAATCTAGGTGCTATACAGATTAACTATAATTTAAAATTTTATGGTGGCAAGCACAGGAAAACGTTCACTAGAAACAAAAAATACCAAAAAGAATTTTTTGACTACTGAACTGGCCCAAAGAAAAAGTATTCTTAAAAAGGTTCTGGGTTTTTTTTTTTTTTTTTGCATATTCACTACAGCATTAATTACAATAGTGAAAAATTGCGAAACAATCCAGATGTCCAATAAAAGTAATGGGTGAGATAAATAATACTATGGACCCAATGAAAACCATGAGGGAGAAGGCTCTCAATGATCTAAAAGACATTTAAAGGGGGAAAACAAACAATATCTGAAGTTTGTTTTTTTTTAAAAAGCATGCAAAGGAAGTATACAGGTATGAGAATATATAAGGATACCTATTTCTGTATCTATAAACACATCTCCACACAACAGTAAAAGGACCAGAATACACTGGAATTTAATAATGATTACTTGGGTTGATGGGATTACAGATAATTTTTATTGTCTTCTTGTTCTGAGCCTTGCCAAATTTTCCACAATGAATATGTCTTATTGTTGGGTTTTTCATCTAATCACAAGGGTTATAAAATGAAATAAAGGACAAAATCAAACAAAAGTCTTTCATTTGGGATCAAGGTGATGTGGGAAAACCAAGATGAAATTTAGTTATGCTCAGGGTATCAGGCTTCCCCACACGACACCTCCCTCAGCTAAACCAGGAGTCCCCACTCCAGCTGAGAATTAGGGTCACTGGTGACTCTACAGCCACTTAATCAGACTGGGGAGATGAGGCTGCAGCAACCATCATTTATTTTCTTAAAAAAAAAAAAAAAATTTTTTTTTAAAAAGATGACCGGTAAGAGGATCTTAACCCTTGACTTGGTGTTGTTGGCACCACGCTCTCCCAAGTGAGCCACGGGGCCGGCCCTCTAAAAATTTTTTTAATTAAGATTTTTAAATTGTGGTATAATATACATAACAAAATTTACCATCTTAACTATTTTTTTTTTTTTTTTTTTTTTTTTTTTTTTTTTTTTTTTTAAAATTTTTTTTGGGTTTTTTTTTTTTTTTTTTTTTTTTTTA